ATTCAGTTTTTGCACACTTTACTGCATTGTTTTTTCCAGCAGATGTTGATGGCTAAGAGAATTGAGACTGGCCACCAAGATTAGAGAGTCGAAATTTTAGGGGAAAAACATGCCCTTAAAATTTCAGCCCTCTAGCTTTTCTGGTCCCCGCCAAAAATTCTTACGAATGCGCACGTGAGAACTACGCACGCCTGCGGGCTAAATTTGAAATCATCAAGTTGTATGTGGGCTGGAAACATCCCCTTAAAATTCCAACCTTCCAGCTTTTCTCGTTGCCGAGTTAGCAGTTTTCCCGCCAAAACCTTCACCCTCTCCTATGCGAAGCCCAAACTTGCACGAGAGTTGGTACCGCGGTTCTGGAGGGGCACTTGGCCGAGGGACCGATTGACAAAATTTTGGCGCCGGAGCTTGCCTGGTTGCCGAGCTGAAACATTCGGACAGACGAGCACACATATACATACACCCAGACGAGGTCGTCGCAATATGCGTTTTTGCAATTTGCATATAAGCAAAAACGCATAATAATTTAAATGAGTGATTTAACCAGTAGTGACTGCAGATCTGTATTTGCACCTGTGAACTATGCTTAGTGCCACTGCAACATTTGTAAAAGCGGGAATCAGTGAAAACCGTTCCGATTTGTTGGCCGCCCCGGAAGACTGCGCTTACGTTGAAGCAGTGGCGACTCTAAAGGGAAAAGACTGGCGAAGATGGGCGACAGAAAGCTGGCCTGGTGGAGAGCGCAGGATCAGGGCACTAGTGATCGAGGAAAATGACGGACAAAAGCGTCACCAGCGCATGCAGCTTGGTGTGGCTAGCAGTGGAGTTTAGGGACCGAAGGCACAGGGATTCCCGGCGAACCAAGTGAAATCCACGATTAGCCAGCAGCTGTTTTTTTCATTATTTCAGTATCATCAGATCCTTGCACTGGACCTTTGTTTTGTACAGCAAAACTTTGTAAAATTTTTCACATTTCACTCTGTGCATTGCATTTTCTGTATCTGCAGCATCCAGTTTCCTTTCCTCCACGCCTTTCCCCGGCTCGCTTCCCGTTCCCCCCC